CAGAAGCACACCTATAAAGGGATGGTTTAAAAATTGAATTTTTTGTTATAATGCCCACAGTCAAAAACAAAGATTTCGAGGGCATTCCCATCACTAACATGAAATACACATATTTATAGCCCGGGCTGTCTTGGTATTATTGAGTATAAGGAAAGGAAGCGCATGAAAAAGAATGAGTGACAAATTTCCTCAAGAGCATATATCCATTAAAAGGAGTTGACAAGGACCTTCAAATCTGCTTTGTTGGAAGTTGAAGGTAGATTGGTTTTCTGAAACGCTAGATAACCAGCACCAGTGATTAAGATGAACTAACAAGCTGTAAAAGAATTAATTTTACCACTGGTAGGACTGAACCACCGGTGTCAACTTGAAAATGAGCGTCCGTTGGCGTTACGTCAGGCCAGTGCGCTTAAATAGAAGTTTGATGCATAATGGAAGGAAGTAAAAATTATCCTTCGTCTTTCCTGCACCTGACCTCGCTAGAAGTATTTTATTTTGACATTTTAGTCAGCTGTTGCCACGTCCCATTCCTTTCGTCAATTGATGCAGCTGGGCAACTTCTTCATTCTTCTGTATTTTGGAAATTCCTCATTTTGAGCCACGTGAAGAAAACTTTCAAATATATGAACCTTCTGTCGCGATCTTTTTCATTTCAAGAATGATATTCTTCACAGTGAGTGGCATCTTAGGTAAATCATTTTGCCGATTCTCGAAGCATTCCCGAGACATAATCCATACAGCAGCTACTCACGAAAATCCATTTGCTACACCGGTGGCTTTTCTGCTTTCTCTCAACTTCAAAGAGTACTGTTCAATAATTCGCTTTATCCATCTGCTGTCTCTCAACTGCGCTGTTTGTCCAGGTGAGCTTCGGGAAATGTATTTCTCAGACTAGCAAAATGTACCTCAGTAATTTCAATAAGGTTGTTTCTCTTGAAGTACGTCACTGGGAGAGATACTGCGATCAAGCGATCAGCACTGACCGTAAGTAACGATACGGCCTGCATTGGCTCTGCCCTACAAAGAGTTCAAAACTTATTACTTTCTCAGCTGTCTCGTTACAGCTTACCGAGCGGAGCGTAAACGATGACTTTTCCAAGGCAGTTTCGCGTACTCATCGTTGCTGGGACAGGAGCGTATTTTCTCACTCACATATGTAAATCTCTTCAAGCACATCCTGGGCCAATCCCAGAAATTCGTGGAGCTTACTTAAGCAGGGGAGATCCCTCCTGTTCTTCAGATCATGATTTCTTGTTCTGCAGCCGAAGGTTTTCTGCTGATTTTGAGGATCGAGTTAGCTCGAATCCATGAAAAATTAAGGGCAGGTTGCTAATGCCCCCCCCCCTCCCCTTGACATGGATTAGCTAAATGAATAGCAATTTATTTTATTATTTTTAACGTCCCATTTCCGATTTTTACGCGTTTCTGCTACAGTGAGCAAAAACGCGCATTACCGCGAGGCCGTCCGTATGTGTATTCGAAAGCGAGTGAATTTTTCCACTCAATTTTAACTCACCAACAAGGAAAGCTGGGAGTCTCTAATTTTGGAGTCATATTCCCAACGCATCTGTCATCTCCCTTTTCAAAATCATCACTCCAACGCTTCAAAACCCCGCTAACACATTCTCGATAAAAACCAGCAAAATCCTTTGGCGGGAAGTAGTTTCATGAGCCAAACAAAGTAGGAAGCTGAAACTTTACGGAGCTATTCTTTGCGCATGTATGAGCTAAAGATTTCAAATTCAGCTACTGCATTTCTATCGCGTGTACAGTATCGTCAAATTTTGAAGCTGGTATTGTGGGACTCCAAAACTAGCTGAAAAAAGACAGCTGAAATTTTGTCAGGGTAGTTATCCTTCATATGGAAAACCGTACAATTCGATTTGTAATTGCGCCACGACCTTGAATACTTCAAAAATATTTGTGGCGAAGTGGCTATTTCGCTTACAGGCAAGCTGCGAAACTTAAAGTTTACAAGGATATTCTATGTACACGTGCGGTTTTAATTTAGCTTGATGATGAAATTACCTGCACGAAGACATGATAAATACTAAATTTTAAAGTAAATTCAAAAGCAAGTGCATTTTGCAGATTTCATAATCCTAGCACAGCTGCACCTGGCGTGTAGAAGCTTCTGGCTGAATCAACAACACGAGATGCCCAAATCGATTGTTTCAGCTTTTTTGAAATTCTTGGTATTTGTTAAATCATATTTCTTTCGATCTAAGATTTCAGGATTTGAAATTAACACTTTTTTGGGGCAGCAAAATCTGTGACAGTTGAATCCAGATTTAGCGAGTATCACCACACCTCGGTTTCATAATTGAAAACCAAGAAAAAGGAAACAAACCATGCCAAAAGAATATTCCATGGCATAAGCATGCACTGCCGGCGACTGACCAGTTTATTGTAGTTACTGTAGAACATTCCCAAGCGGCCAATCCCAGCAATCATTAGTGCTGCTGCACTTACTCCATTTGCAACTATCTGCAATTTCAGAATCTACTTGAACTTTTCAGACTTCCTTGGCAAAATCGTTGGAGCCTATGAGACATCTTTGTGGATAGCCTCAGCCCTGCCCTTGGGTATGTACCTGTAACTGCATTTTTCAAATTCATTAAATACGTTCATTGTTCAGGAATGGCAACTAGTAAAATCAGTCTGTGTCAGCGCGGCTTAACCCTCCCGACGGTGCAATTAGATATTAGGATGGGGCGAAGTAGACAGAGGTGTGGGGGGAGAGGCGAAGGAGGACATGAAAAGGGAGCATGCTCGTAAAATTTCAGCTTCTTAGCTTCTCTGATTCTGGGGCTAACAAAATCCACAAATGCACAGGCATACATACAATCGCAATTATGTAGGAGTCGCGTAATAAAATCATTGATGATGCGCACCGAGCAGCCCTGTGCGATCATGTTTTTTTGCAGTATTTCATGCTCTAGTAAGTTCGCTTGAACTTTCAATAGCTAGAATTTGTGACATACTGATCCTCGAACTTCAGAAAGTTAATTGTGAAACGATGCAGTAGTTGGACAGGGGACAATCCGTTAAAACTTCGACTTTTCAGCTTTTCCGGTTCCTGAATTAGCCATTTTCCAGCCAGGAAATTTGGGGGGCCGCATGCGCAGCTGGAGAATGAATTTAAAATCTTTAAGTTATGCGTGGGCTGGGAACATTCTTTTGAAATTACAACTTCTCAGCTTTTCTGGTTCCCCAGTCGGCGATTTTCCTGCCAGAACTTTCATGTGCTCATACGCGGGTCCGGACTTGCACTAGGATTGGTACAACGGTCCTGTGTTGGTATTTGTCCAGAGAACCCACTGGCGAAATTTCAACGTCGGAGCTTGCTTAGTTGCCGAGTTGAAAAACCTGGACAGACACATACACCTGCACACGCACACCATCGGTCGTCACAATATACACTTCTGCATTTGCAAATGTGCGAAAAAGCATAATAATGAATGTTTGACTAACAAGCATCGACAAGTACATGAAGAATTTTCAAAACTCACCCTGATTAATTGTGAGAACACCACTAACCTCTGCAATGATGACGCGGTAACGCTGCAGTAGCGTTTGATTTCGTGCAAGTGCGTAACCGAAGAAGCAGTGGATAATTACGCTCACCAATCCAAGAAAAATGTATGCGTAAAGCAAGGGTATTATCAAAATCATCACGATTTTTCAGAAGTATACAACTCTTTCCTTAAAAATAGGCACATCAAATACACGAAATTTTATATATACATCTGCATTCATGAGCAACTAACGGAAGTCGTTATTATTAGGTGGTACTTGCTAGAAAGTAAATAATCAATCGGATTAGTTCCGAAGAAATACCACACGTATATCAAAACAAGTGGGTATTAAAAGGAGGTATGCAATTCAGGGCTGACAGGGTGGGCCATTTCTATCAGAAATATAATGAAAGATAAGAAAATTTGGCTGTTGCTATCACTCGAGCTATTTCTCGAACAACTCTGTCTTCGACGAATAAAATGGAGCGGATTGTTCAGTTTTGATATAAAACAATCACATTTCGTGTCCGTAGTTTCTTGAAAAACCGCATCAAAAATTTTCACGAAGCCGCACGTGAGAGCTACG